TATTTTTTTATTTTTAAAATTCTTTGCCGAGTGCCCTGTGACCTGGCACTCGGCAAAGGCTTCTTTGCCGAGTGCCAAGGTTGGCACTCAGCAATTTTTTTTTTGTTTTTTTCACCCTATTTTTTTCTGAGGCCTTGCTACAGTAATTAAAACTCCATTTTAAAATTTGAGATAATTTTGAGTTTTTTTACTATATTTCCTTAATTATTTTGGTTTCGTTGAATTTTTCCGACTATTTCAAATTTGAACTGCATATACATGAAATAATGGAATTTGGTCATTCAAAAAATTGTATTCATGATATTTGGCGTATGTTGAGGCCGTATCCAGGAACTCGCATGAAATTACGAGCATCTTGTTGTCGTAACATGACGATGTACTTGCAGGAAAAGTGTATTTAAATTATATAAAATCCAAACGAAGTCCGAAAATCACGAAACTTGTCGAGGTGTCTTGTTATCGCATGTGGAGGCCGTGGTAAAAAATTGAGAAAGTTTGGAGCAAGTTGTGACGTCAGATGCGCTTGTTGCAAATGGTCACTCGACACTTGAGAAAACGTCGCTGCGACTTACGCGTATCCACGATCAACGTCCAGGCATGGGGCCTAGCATATGATTCTCTCGTCCGAATGTTGCTTGCGGCCGCAATGCAGATGGATCGCCCAGAGCTAGCCCACTCGTCGTTCCCACACGCACGCACACGCGACACGCCACGCCCCGGGCCCCGGCCGCGCGCGCCCGTGCCATGCGTTCCGCTTGCTTGTTTTGCCATGTGAACCGGCCGGTGGGCGGCCCTGATGGCTGCTGGACCATGGCCGTGGCCCGTGGGCGCGTGGATTGGTTGATTAATTACCTCGGCGAGCCCGACCGAGTGGGAAATGGCCGGTGGTGTGTGTGCCGGGACGACGACGACGACAATCCTTGGTGGTGATTTATTCGCAACTAGCTAGATGGCTAGATGCATGTAGCACATGAGCACCCACGCAGCACGCACGGCATATACACGCCCGCCGGCGCACCACCAGGCAGAGGATTACATCACCGGTCCGGCGGTCACCTTCGGCGCTCGCCCGGCCTCCTTTTTGACATTCCGTGTAACCTGCTGCCCCGTGGGCCGTGGGTCCGCTGCCTAGTGATCGCTTCCTCATCCTCTTCTTCTTCTCTTTCTCATCCATGCATAAAACTTTAGGTAATAGAGGGTGCCTAGCAGTTAAACACAGTAACCATCTAATATGCTGAAAACAATTTTTATTTGGGTAAAGTATATTTCAACCTCCAACTTATATGATGGTCTGCTCTAATTTAGGCTTTGTTTGGATGTTATAGTATTAAGAAACCATAATATTAAAAAAAATTATAGTTTTATAAAATCATTGATGTGCAAAACAGTGGTTTAGAAAAAAGAAGTCTAGACTGGAGTTTTTAAAACTCCAAAAAGACAACAGTTTTAGCAATACCATGGTATTCAAAACCATAAAGTTTGTTGCACCCAAACAATTCATGACACTCTAAGGCTCCGTTTGGCTTGCTGAATCTTAGCTGAAATTGGTTGAAAGCACTGTTCTGGCTGAAATGTTGTGAGAGAAAAACACTGTTCCAGCTGAAAAAGAATCCGAACATATAGGGTGAGCTGAACGGGGCCTAAAACCAAAGTATTTCACAAAACCATGGTATTTTTTCTAAAACTCTAAAAATACTTTGTATCCAAACAGGGCCTTAATTTTCAACCTTAAACTACAAACCGAGTAATGGACATACTGTAGCTGTCGAAACCAAAAAAAATGGTCCTCTTGCTGGCTTCCAAGACGACTTTCTATTTTTTAAAAAAATAAATTAAAAAACCAATTTGTTGTCAAATAATTCATAAATAATTTATTTAAAATAGAAAATAAGAAATTAGTACCGTTTTTTTTTTCTAAAATTTCATCTACTTGTTTATGATCTATATATAGTTATTTGGAACTAGTTTATTTTTGTTCCTATCACTTTATTGCTCGTAGTCATGTTCATTATTTATTTAAAATCATTCGGATCAAAATAACTCTAAATAGAGCACCAATAAATAGATAACATTTTTGGAGAAAACTAGTAGTAGTTTCATTTTTTATTTAAAATAAATTAATTAGGGATTTTTAGAGGGCAAAGTAGTTTTTTTAGAAAATGTAAAAGACCTTTCAAACCAACTAGATGACCAAATTTATTCGGAGTTGGAGGGCTTCGGTCAACCAATTTCGTAGTCCATGGTTGAAAATCAGACTACAACATGGAGGTTGATGAAAATGTACTTTAACCATTTTTATTTCATGGCTCCCCTAAAGCAACTTATAGTAGTGGTGGAGCCATAATGTTTTAGGAGCCCGGGCAATATTCATTATGCAAAAATATTTATCTAACAGATTATATTGTTTTTGAATGATACACTCTTTTTTCCCGACTTCGCCAAGGAGCCCTTTAAACTTCGCCAAGGAGCCCGGCCACTGACTTGTAGAGTAGTACCGGTAGGATTGATCGTGTGCTGGAGTTGCTCTTAAGCATTAGACCATTACTGCCTCGTATGTATGCAAATGCAACCACTTGGACTAGTATATTACCCGAGCACATTTTCATGTATGTAGTCAACGCAAGTACGCAAATTGGAATACACGTACGTGCGTCATCCTTCTGCTTTCTTATAAATCTTCTTTTTTTTTCTCAGCTTGCATACCATCGCACTCGCGCCAAATGAAGGCTGGATGAAGCGAACACTTGCATTGGGTCTCGATCGATCTAGAGAGGTGCGTGTGACCAGGCTGTGGTCCATGCCGCGCGCCACAAAGTTGGACTCGGTCGAGAAAAGGTAGCTCGCTCGTCACCTTGCCCTGCCCTGCCCTCCCAGGGCCGGCGGAGGCTTTAGAAATGTGGAGACGGAAAGCATATCTGGCAAAGGTTCAAAGCTAATCCTCGCCATAATTACTCTTATTAGCTGGTGAGACCGGCCGGCCCACTTGATCAAGGTTAAGAGCTGTGTCTGTGTGTGAGTGCGCGATCCTTGTCCAAGTTAACCTTTGATTTGATTTTGTCTGCGTCGTCTGCTGCTGACGCGATATGATATGGCCCCTGTGCGCGTGCATCCGTCGCTTTCCCGGTTGACTTGCGCCCGCGTGTAGCCTTCCGCGAAGAACGTTGAAAATTTTGCTAGCTAACGCCACATAAGAGGCCAAATTCGCGCGGCATGCTCACGACTGTATGCTATATACAGTACAGGGGTAGTACTGATGTGCATGTTAGCTAGCAGCTGGCGATGCAGCGTCTACAGCACACTACTGGTCCTTGAGTACTTCGTCCATTCAAATTATACATCATTCAAGCTTTTCTAAATATACATAACTTTTATTATATATATCTAGACATAATCTATACCTAAATTTGTAGCAAAGATAATATATATTTAAAAAATTCAGAACAATATGTAGTTTAGAACGAAGGGATATACGTATTGGTTGTACTTAGTGATCGAACCTACAACTCATTCATGGTACCTGCGTCTGTGTTTTTGCTATAGCCAATTTAAGTTTATAGTTTGACGCACACACTTATGTTTCAATTAGACTGTTAAAATGGGTAAGATGGCACATTTGGCACAGCTCCAGTTCTAAGAATTTCTAGGGCTACTCATTCCTAGTTCCAAAAATTTTGGAGCAAGAGCAGTGGACACTTTGAAAGTTATATATATTTAAATTAATTTATTTTATACTATAAAATGCAAGTCTAACACGTACCCACCTAGATAGTTGTGTTAAACAGGCACTATGTATACGTGTGTCAACTATAATGGGGTATTCGTTTAGAGCTTGGGGCACCCAAAATACTTGTATCTTTTTTTGCGCATAGCCCAAAGTACTTGTATTGTTCACTCTAGATAGGCCAAGAAAACCTCTATACTTAATATGCAGAGCTAGCTCCTGCAATGCTTCAAGACCCAACAACAACACTCAAATAAAACTATGGGCCACTGTGGTAGAGCTTCACTTCCCAATTATTGAGCTTCACTCCTCTAATAAAGTGGTTCTGGTGCGGGGCAAGGTAGGAAGCAGGTGAGGAGTAATTCTGGATGATTCCGGTGGTGATTAAATGAGGAGCAGTGGAGAGCATTAGGTTTTTTAGCTCCTAAATCATAGTGTAAATGGAGAAGTGATTCTCGTTAACTCTCTACCAGAATCTAGAGTAATAGCATTTTAACCGTTTGATGGGGCTCCATAGAATTTGCTACGAAGGAGTTTAGAGCGGAGCTCTACTATACCGTACCAAACATGCCCTATATAGTATTAACCGATTTTCGTTGTAAGCTCCGTGGTTAGTGAAGATACAATACAAATTTAACTTTCTGCAAACAATGTTTCAAGATTAAATATGTAAGTCACATGCAAAATGAAGTAATATATCTATATAAATTGAAGTGATAGTTACCAAAAATTTGATGAATTAAGCAAGAAGAAGCATTGTCAATAAACGTAACCAGTCAAACAATATACGCCAGTTAACAATTAACAATGCCTCGGTATCCAGTATCCAGTATCCTCATCTCATACATTTGCATATTAGATTGCACACTAAATTTAATTAACCTGTGAAGCTGAGAAATTTTCTCCATTACAAGCTAGAGGTTACATATGGGCACGCAGAGGCCGGGTTGCACAGCCTGCAGCCCATGATACTGGCAGAAGAAAATTCAGCTACTTCACAGCTTAATTTGGCACGAGCCATCTTATTGAGCTACATATAGCTTTGCTTTAAATTGTTTCCTTGGAAATACTATATGTACTTGTGCTTAATTAGTTACCTTGATCATCCTCGATCGCATGGGCTGGTTGCATGGTTCATTCGCAACTACGTACACGACGGTAGAGTAGGAACAAAACTGCATCAGCTGCAGCCTGCAGACCACCTTAATTCTCTTATGGGTGGGGAGATAGATACCTCTTCTAGCTAGCTAGCAGCTATAGCAGCCGACAGCAGACGACCTCACCGATTGTGGAAACGTACGGTGCGGTCCTTTGTTGGGGCGGCGGCGGGCTCGTCGACGGGGCCGTGGTCGGCGCCGAAGGATCGGACGTGGTCATTGAGGGATCGCTTGTGCTTGAAGTCGGAGCCGCAGGCGCAGAACCAGCGCTTGCCGCAGTTCTTCTCGTGCGTGCGCCAGTCGCCCTTGACGGCGAAGGGCTTGGCGCAGCGGCGGCAGCAGAAGGGCTTGGTGCCGTGCTTGCGCTTGTAGTGCGTCTGCAGGGTGCGGAAGTCCTTGAGCGGCCGCGCGCGCGGGTGCGCCACGTTGTTCTTGCACCCCGCCGCGCAGCAGTAGCACGGCAGCTTCAGCAGCGCCAGCGTCTGCGTCCCCTTGAGCGACTCCGGGCCCTTGCGGTACTCGCGCCCGTGGCCCCACATGTGCATCTGGAATAGTACGTATACGTACGGAGTATAATGCATGCACATGTAGATTAATTAGTTGGAGTAGTAACAGATTGGAGATTTATGAACATTTTTTTTTGTGAATTGAGATTTATGAACCCATGCAAACAAAACAAGCAAAAGATTTATGAACGTTTTGCTTGTTTTGTTTGCATGGGTGGATTGTAGTACATCGAATTGCTTACTACTGTGCTTTTGTTTTGAAGAACTACTGGGTAATTAAGTCGTTGTGTGTGCATGCAGAAATGGTGTATGATTGGTTGTACCTGTATATATAATATGGTTCATGGTTTTGGAGGCAAGGTCAAGCATGAAATTGAGTTCGATCGATCGACTTCCAGTTTCCAATAAAATATCATGATCTGCATCACCTATACAAGCTTCTTGTTGCCGCATATCATATATGACGTAGAAATGCGTGTGCTGCTGTCATTTCTAGCTTATACACAATAACACTCATCAATTATTGACTCAATTCTTGCAAGTTCATGCGGGCGGGGCACTCTCAATTGCGACGTGTCTTTTGTTATTTTCTCGAAACCAACACGAGAGCATAGTTTAGGTTACCGTTTCGGCCAAAAATATCGGTGCTCAGCGGTAAAAACGAAAATCGGGATTTTCGGTGATTTTCGGATTTTTCGGGTGCAAAAAATGCTCAAACTGATTTTTGAAGAAATAAGAAAATTTGGCCGAAAATCGGCAAAAAAGAAAGTCCAAAATTAAGCAACAACTAAAAGGCTGACCAAGAGAACAATTCTCATGGATCATGTAAATATCCCATAGTTAATGCTGTACAAGGTTCAGTTGCATTCAAGTACTAATCTACTCAGAACGAGACATCCTTGATAGAAAAATATAGGCTTTGTGCATATGAAATTGCAAGATCGAAAAACAATTGTACAGATCACCTGTCGAAGCATTCCTCTTGCCTACAGCAGCTTTCTTGGTGGCTCCTCCTGCTGCACCGTCAGCATCGGCTCCTTTCCCGTGAGCATCGACAGGGAGTCTTCCCCTCGTGTCATCCATGTACCTGCACGCAGTAAGTAGTCCGATTCAGTGCGTTGACAAGAGAAGCCACGCATCGATGTGGCCGTCCTGGTACAAGAACCTGATGGCGAGGTCGCCCGGGGCAGGGGCTGGCTGGGGCCGGGGGCGAGGTCGCCCAGGGGCTGGGGCTGGGGTAGAGGCAGGTGCCAGGCGGCGGCGGCGGCGGGCGGCTGAGAGCCTGAGAGTCGAGGAGAGAGAAATGAATTTGAGAACAGCTAGGGTTTCAGCTCAGATATTATATAGTTGGGAAGGAATTACTGGGCCAGTCCGACTGTGATGGGCTAAAAAAAAATTCAAAACAGGCCGAAATGTTTTCACCGGTTTGGCCCTTTACCGGACCAGGCCGATAGAAACGAATTTCGCCGAAATTCGTGAATTTCAGGCCGAAATTCTGAACCATGCACGAGAGTCGATAGATAAGTAATTAACTAGAGTTACGGCAGGGAAACGCAAACAGAGTGCGGTAACAAATAAGATCCAAGTTCAATCCAGTATATAGGCAAATAAACATGGTAACATACCTGCATGTTGTTGTATCTGTTGAAGGTCTTGTTACAGACATGGCAGATAAACTGCACCGGGCCGATGAGGATCTGCGCCGGCGTCGGGATCCAGTACCGGCCGCCGGCGATCGGCAGGCCGCTCTCCTCACCCACCACGCCGAATTTCCCCACGCCGACGACGATGCTCTTTGATCCTTCCACCGACGCCGGCACCACCTCGTCATGCTCCTGCTGCTGATCCACCCCCTCCGCTTTGCAGCTGCCATGCATATGCTTCCACTCCTCGCTCTCGTCCTCACCCTCCTGATCCACTGCGTCGTCTTCCTCCTCCTCCTCGTCAGCCTTTTCTTCCATGATGGCATCCTCAATGCAGGATCCACCAACCGGCAAGCCGATGCTCAAATCCACGCCGGACTGCGCCAAATCGCTGGTCGCGCTACCGCCGCCTCTCATGATCTCTTCTTTGACGGTGCACTGCTGCTGCTCGTGATCACCGGCCCCTTTCCCCTCACCGAGCCTGCTGAGCAGCGGCAGGCACGTCATGCTGCTCACTTCTTCCTGCGCAACTCCACCGGCTGCTTGTCCCTCTTCACCAAGCGCTGCTAGTACATGATTCCCGGACGCTGCCATCGAGGTCGACGACGACGACGAGCCAGACGACGACCGCGACGACGATGGCGACGAGGAGCGCCGCGGCTTGAGCCACTGGAAGAAAGGCGAGCCGACGGCCTCACCTTCCATGGCGGCACAAGTCCGCGGCCCCATGGATCCTGATATCGATCTATCACCGATCGACGACCCTTAGTATATATAGCCACTACAAAGTAAGTGTGTTCTGGCTCTCTTGATCTTGGGGATTTGGTGGAGTGGAGAAGATGGGAGAGAGAGGTGTAGCTAGCAACAACAACAAGCAGCAGCAGCTTAATGTCAAGGCGTGCCTGTCACGGCCCTGCGGAAAACGAAGGGTCTGTGGCGCCCAGTCCGGTTGCCATATATATGCTCGAGTCCAACGCTTCTCGCTCTAATATTTACGTGTGTGTCCCTCCCGGTTGAAGTTTGGAGGCTTTCACACCCGAGGCAGGCAAAGAATCAGAAAACCTGCGTCAGATAACGCGTGGTAGTGTGAATGAACTCCGATCAAGCGGAACCATAGCATACACCGTACAGTCATTTGTACACCTTGTTGATAAATTTGCGTGCGAATGCATACTGAGTGCTGCGTATACTGATCAAAACCAGCTTGGGACTGATGGTCCCTGGCCTTGCATGCCGCCGCGCATCAGGACTGAAGGCCCGGCGAAGGTGGTCAATTGCGATTACTGGACCAGTGAATGGTCGTCACTGGCCAGTGCTGAGGTATGCCGAGTATTGAATGGAGTTTAGGTGAGAGGTACACTGGGACGATAAATTAAAACAGATCAGGACGAGGAACGGTTTCTGTGTCCTCTACATCAACACCGGGGTCCGGTCCGGCCATGTCGACGCATCGTCGTCCAAAACCAGATGTAATATTTTTGTCGCTAGCAATACATTTCTCGTGAATAATTCGACTTTTTACAAGTTTATTATGAAGTCTAAGATGTCTCTCAGGTGACTATTGCTAACACTAGATTATGAACCGACAACTCACAAACCGTCTTCCACCTTCGGCTCAATCCATTGTTCTTCAGTTTTCAACTAAGGCTATATGTTTAGTTGACCATCTGAAAGTAATTATGTTGCTAAAAAGTAGAAAGCCAACCAAATAGATGAAGCTTAAATCTACTTTTTGCGAAATAGCTACATTCGTGTAATACTATTTTGGAAGCGGTTGGTATTTATTAACTTATCACTTATTTTAGTAGCCACTTATTATAAACATATATCTTCTAACATTACTTTACTAGGTTGTCATCCCTAATAATGATGCCAAAAATGCTTATTGGTACTACTTAGCATTACTATTAGAATAACTCTAAGTAGTTCTTTATTAATTTATGTGACTAAAAATGAATATATAGATATGAATGAAAAATGATATGCAAGCGCACAGATAATATACCATTGTAGTACTTTACCTGGGAGTATTTCAGGTATCGTTATTTACATTTTTACCACAGGGAAGGTCTAGCATCGACATGTATTGATAACTTGTACTATTGATGGAGAAGTAAACCATAACCAATATTCTACTAATAACAGGGGTAAGTCATAGAATATTAGAGGAATAATTCATAAGTCGTTCTTAATTATAAGTCAAAACATACATTGATTAGTGCAATTACACCTAATAGTCATTATTAAGATCATCTTCATATCTACACATAAGGGATATTACTAAGGGAGATTAAGAACAGAGCTTGTTCCCCTTCGTAATCAGATCCTACGTGCTACCTACATCGGGGAGTGGACTACAAAGGACTCAACGGGAATGTCACGTCCGCGATCTACCATATGACCCAGAATATAAGGTGTATCCATAGGTAAACAACGTATAAGCACCACGCTTACACAATGTCGACCACCCACCTCATGGATCCTTAGGGTGAGCGTTATACGAACATATGCATGAATATGATGATAATCCAACTATACTAGGTATATAATCAAAGTAGACGATGAACATTATAACAAAAATATGAATAAGATGAATACTAATATTGTCATAACAATTGTAGCAAGCATATAAAAGTAATGGAGATACAAAAGAGAGAGGGGGTACAAAGATTATATCGAACCATGCTCTTGACACGATTAGAAATCCAAGCGACGCCGGCTTGCCTCCCTCTAAACCTAGCCTAACTAGCTATGCCCTAGAATATGATGGAGCTCTGAGGATGATTAGGGTTTCTGTTTTCTCAAATGACTTGATGCCTTCAGGGGGAGGGGAGGGGTAGGAGCTGATTATATAGCCCGGAGCGTCCAACGTGAGCCCTTGGATCAAATCGACTGAAGGAACGGCGTAGATGCAACCTAGGAGGCGGTGGAAAACCAACTTGACGACGCGGAGGCTGACAGGTGGGCCTTGGGGCCGGGCGGCGGTAGGCCCTCGCTCTCTGCCTCGGCGTGGTGTCCTCTGGTGTCCTCTAGAACCTTCTAGTGTCCGTTTCACGGTGGATAAGCACAATTACATCTGACATGTAGGTCTACTTTGACGGATTTCTGGATAAACCCTGCAGAAATCACAGATTCACCAAAACTCGTGGAATTTATTAGTTTAAACTCATAGACCTTTGTTGGTGATATCAATTGTGCCCTTATGCATGTTTTATTGACGGTTTATAATGGTTGTTAACTACCGTCAACAACCCCCCCAAGTTTAAAATTTGCTAGTCCCTTAGCAAAGCTAAACTCAGCAAAATAGATCAGGAGTTGCTACAATGCTCTCACTCCTTAAAAGTACACATGCGTTCAAATAAGAATTCTCCTCCGGATTAAAATAAACCGATTTGACTTTCAAACTTACCCATATTACCTTCAACTATGGGGCTTCTTAGCCTTCACTTGGGTCTTGAGCAATTAAAAGACAGAACAATCAAGTCAAGCACTATGTCTCAAGTTCTTTGCTCAACCATTATTCCGGAGTTTTTAAAGGTTTTCAAAATAAAACTCAGAGCTTCTATTGTATGACACTATCACGTCTCACAATATATGTGGTATTTGTGGATCCTCACCAAAACAATAATAATGTTATGCATTTCTCTTCCTACAACTAGGCTTATGTGGAGCTCATAGGAGTGAAAAAAGCATGAAAGAGCATACTTACAATACATATATTGTAAAGTCAAACCTCGAATCCAAAGAGAGTTAAGTCATACAATCAAATTAAGATATGCATGTGTGTGGATGTCTATGGTGGCTAACCTAATTCTACTTTGCTCCTTAAAAACATATCTCTCTTTTAAAACTTAGAAACAACTTTGTAAGAAAATATGGGCTATCTTATTCATCTCTTTTTTCTTTTTTTTCAGGCGGGTATCGGAGTACCCATTATTTTATATATCTCGGACACTTGTCCATTTTTTTCAACACTTTTTTTCTTTTTTTTCTTTTTTCTTCTTTTCATGAATAACTTTTGCATAGCATCATGTTTTTTTGACTGCAACAAAACTTCTGAGAGATAGCAACAAGAATTTAGAGCATTTATTTGATGGATATCCTATAGGGTATATTTTTTGTGTTTACTCTTAGTGTAAGAGTAAAATATTTTTATGTGGATATAGATCGAATGGCATGTTGTTGCGCCTACCCCCTAGTGTAGGAGTAGTGCATATGTAGGTGGTGTGTACGTGATCATAATTTTAAGAGCATGACAAATCTCTCATAAGGGTCAACAAAGCTTCACTAAACTCAATACAATGCTTCACTAAACTCAATACAATGCAAGCAACATATATGTGGAAGTTTTCCTAATCTAAGTATCATATATGGCTCTGCTAGGAATTCAAGCTTTGTCATACAAGAAACTCATCATGAAGTATTTTTATGTTTTTTTCAAAAGATAAATCTCTGGAACTTTAGTATCACTAGGAACGAGGTAAACAATAGCTCAGACCTTCTCATATCATATCCGTCAATTACCTAGACTTAGATCAAGCATATGCTACCCACGAGTTTCAAATTCAGAGTAAATTCTTATATCAAAACAGTCGTATCCAAAACTCGAAAGAATTCAATGCTGAAAACTAGATACTTGAAAGGAATTACAACAGAGCAGTTATTCATCATTTCCATTGTAAGAGATTATCCTCAGAGTCCATTTTATTTATTCAGCTCTTAAAAACAGAAAACTAGACGCATACTTTTTTTATTTTGTTTTCAAAATTTAAGATCACACCTTATTAATATATATAACTAGCTAAGATAAATTTGTATTTTATTTTAGTTTGTTATACATCGTTTTATTTTATTATATCTAGCATAAAGCAAACTCAAAAATAGTAAAACTAAAGGAAAGAAATACTTAGCTAGATACACAGGGGATGCTCCTCCCCCAAGCTGGATGTTGCTGTGATCGATTGTTGAATGTTGACCGATCCTTGTCGGAGCGGGTTTGCCAGCTGATATCCTTTTCATTCATCTAGAAGTTGGGTTCCTCATGTGTAGCGAGTACAACAGCGGTTCAGGAAGATGTACTTTGGGTGGATGAAGATAGCCGGATAAACTTGCTCTTGAGCTTATGTGTCATCCGCGATATACCACATGACCTGGAATATAGGGTGTATCCGTAGGTAAACAACGTATAAGCACCACGCTTACACAATGTCGACCACTCACCCATGGATCCTTAGGGTGAGTGCTATATTAACATATGCATGAATATGATGATAATCCAACTATACTAGGTATATAATCAAAGTAGACGATGAACATTATAACGAAGAACATGAATAACACTACCGGACTCCTTGAGTTTGCCGAGTGCCCGAAACACTCGGCAAAAGACATAAAACACTCGGCAAAGGCTTTACCGAGTGTAACACTCGGCAAACAGCACACGGCATCTACAGAGTCGGCAAACAGCTATTTGCCGAGTGTTTTTTATCGCGCACTCGGCAAATGGTTTACCGTGTGTCAAATTTGACACGGCAAAAAAAAGTGGTTTGCCGAGTGTTTTTCCAAAATACACTCGGCAAAGGATTATTGTTTGCCGAGTGTTTTTGGAATTACACTCGGCAAACCTATTTTCCAAAGAAAAAAAATATTTTTCTCAAAGATATCTTTATTCTTGTCGAAAGTGTTTTTGAAATTACACTCGGCAAATCTATTTTCCAAAGAAAAAAAAA